AGTGGATTCCCCGAAAGAGGGTCTGTGAAGTTGTGAAGTTCTGCTTCTTTTTCAGAAACAAAAGTCTCGGGATTAGTGCAAAACGGCTTATACGCCGAATTAGGGTTTAGGGTTTAGGGTTTAGGGTTTAGGGTTTAGGGTTTGACCTGCTCATGCGGAAAAAGTAGCTTTCCTCTTCCATTTTGACCAGTGGATTCCCCGAAAGAGGGTCTGTGAAGTTGTGAAGTTCTGCTTCTTTTTCAGAAACAAAAGTCTCTTCTCTTTTGTTGTACCAGCCTGTATAAGTCCCCAAGTAAATGTCATTTTTGCTGCTGCAGCGGCCCCACAGCCACTGACACACGCGGCGGTGGTCTGGTCCACTGGTCCGTACGAAGGCGTCGTGGCTGCTGCTGAGCTGCTGCAGCAGCAGCGCGAACTGCTGCGCGACCCCGTCCACGAACTGCTGCGGCTGCTGCCCTGCTGCTGCTGCTGCTTCTGCTATTTTCACTCCATGTTCGTCAAGTCCTGTCAAAAACTTAACTTTTTTTCCATTAATTCGATTAAACCTCGCGAGACAGTCTGCGGAGACATACTCGTAGGCGTGGCCCATGTGGGGAGGTCCATTGGTGTAGGCAATGGCCGTGGTTATGTAGTACAAGTCCTGCTGCGCTGCTGCTGCTGCTGCTGCTGCTGCTGCTGCTGCTGCAGCGGGGGCGCTCAGCGCCCGCCGCGACAGCAGCAGCGGGCCGGGACCCGGAGGAGCAGCAGCAGCAGCAGCAGCAGCAGCAGCAAACGCGCTGCGGAAGGCTTCCTGCGTGTGCTGCAGCGCGCGAGACAGCTGCGGGAAGTCCGGCAGATACACCCCCCCAGCAGCAGCAGCAGCAGCAGCAGCAGCAGCAGCAGCGCCAGCAGCAGCGGGCCCGCCAGGTGTACAGACACCGAAACGGTGGAAACGCAACGCAGCAAACAGCAGCATGTCGCTCAGAGAGGGCTCGAAGCCGCTCAGAGTCAAAGAGTCACTAGCAGCTGCAGCAGCAGCAGCAGCAGCAGCAGCAGCAGCAGCAGCAGCAGCAGCAGCGCAAGCACACACACAGGAGAAGAAGCGTCAGGAAGGGAGAGGCGGCAGCACAGGCGGGAGAAGGGTTTGCGGCGAGGGGAGGATAGGGTTTAAGGCTTAGGGTTTAGGGTTTAGGGTTTAGGGTTTAGGGTTTAGGGTTTGGGGCGGACTGAGGGCGTTTTCGAGGGTTTCGAGGAGGTGGAGAATGCGGAGTTTGTCGAGGCCGGCGAGGGCGGGAGTGAAAGTGAAAAGCACCCAATCAATCCACTGCTGCTCCTTCCAATAAGGGTTTAGGGTTTGGGGTTTAGGGTTTAGGGTTTGGGGTTTGGCGAGGGTTTGGGGTTTGACGCAAAGGGGAAATGCTGCTGCTGCTGCTCGAGGGTTTGCGCGCAGCAAAAAGCTGCATGCGGGTTTGACTGCAGCGACTGCGGTGTCTAGACAGCTCAGCGCAGGCCGCTGGTCCGGAAAAAGTGGAAAAGGAACAGAAAATGAAAATTCATTTATTTCATTTATTTCTTTTTCTTTTTTTATTTCAAGTTTGTGCAAAACTGACAAAATGCAAAAAGTCCCGAAACCCGATCGGTCGCCAAACACCCGCACGCCCCCGCTCCCCGACATCTTCAAACCCTAAACCCTAAACCCTAAACCCTCGCCGAAGCCCAACCGGAAACCCTCGCGCCAAACCCTAAACCCTAAACCCTCTTGCGCACTCGCAAGCCCTGCCAAACAAACCCTCGATCCGCCAACAAAAATGCAAACAACAGCGCGCCGCCGAGCAACTCAAAACCCTAAACCCTAAACCCTAGTCCTAAACCCTAAACCCTAAACCCTAAACACAATTCACGCTTAAGCTCGCAATTGTTCTTAAATTCAAAACCCTAAACCCTAAACCCTGCAGCCGAAGCCCTACGCCCTCAACCCCCCATGAAATGATGGCCCCGTAGCTGCATGCGCCGCGCTCGCAGCCTAAACCCTAAACCCTAAACCCTAAACCCTAAACCCTAAACCCTTACTCTGAAATTTTTCCTTCCAAAAACACCACTATAAAAACACTTATTTTGGACTCATTATGCAAAATGGGGGATTTAGCTAAAGTTCCAACCCCGCAAGCTCTAGGGTTTGGGGCTTGGGGCTTAGGGTTTAGGGTTTAGGGTTTAGGGTTTACAGCATAGAAGTTAATTGTCTAGAACTTCCATGAGGCCGGAGACTCATAAAATTATTTTTCTAATGAATAAACAGTTTCAGCGTCTAGGTTTTAGGGTTTAGGGTTTAGGGTTTAGGGTTTAGGGTTTAGGGCTAGGGGTGCAGGAGTCTATATATGACTGCTCCACAATTCTTATAAAGTAAACCACGAGCAAATGCGGCAGCCATTGCAACTATACTGCTTATAGAGTCTGCATTTGAACGTTAATTAGGGTTTAGGGTTTAGGGTTTAGGGTTTAGGGTTTAGGGTTTAGGGTTTAGGGTTTAGCTTCGCATGGCCACGAAGCCACCCAAAGCGCCGCTGGACGGAGAGGTCCACTGGACCTCCAGTGGTCCACTGGACCTTCACTGTGCCGGAGGGGCCTCTGGGGGCCCCTGAGGGGCCCTCTAGGGGCCCCGAAAAGGCCCTTTTGGGGGCCCCTAAAGGGCCCTTTTGGGGGCCCCCAAAAAGGCACCTTGGGGCCCCAAAGGGGCCTTTAGGGGGCCCCAAAAGGGCGTTTTGGGGGCCCCAATAGGCCCTTTTGGGGGCCCCACAGGGCTCATTGGGGGCCCCTTTTGGGGGGTTTTGCGAAACCCTTGGCAGCCCCAGAGGGGCCCCCCAGAGGGGCCCCCCAGAGGGTCCTGAGGGGCCCCTCCAGGGGCCTTTTGGGGATCTTTAGGGGCCCCACAGGAGCCCTAAGGGGCCCTTTTGGGTATTTTAGAAATAAGGGGCCCCCAAGTTCTTCAGGGGTTTTGTGGGGGCCCCTGGGGGCCCCCAGGGGCCCTTCAGGGGCTCCTCAGGGGCCCCCTAAAGGCCCTTTATAGACTTCTTGGGGACTTCTCAAAGACCTTTTAAAGGCCTTTCGTGGGGCCCCCCAAAACCCTTTAGAGGCCTTTTACGGGCCCCCAAAGGCCCCTTAAAGGGGCCCCCAAAGGCCCCTTAAAGGGGCCCCCAAAGGCCCCTTAAAGGGGCCCCCAAAGGCCCCTTAAAGGGGCCCCCCAAGGCCCTTTAAAGGCTTCTGAGGGGCCCCGAAAGGCCCTTAAGAGGTTCTTTGAAGGCCTCAGCGGCATTTGGTGCCCCTAGGGGCCCTTTGGGGGGCCCCTAGGGGCCCCCTTTGTGGCAAAGGGGGCCCTTGTGGGGCCCCTCTTGGGGCCCCCTTGGGTCCCCTTTTGTCGCAAAGGGGGCCCCATTGGGGCCCCCTTTGGGGGCCTTTGGGGGGCCCCCTGCAGCCCCAACAGAGCCTAGGCAAACCCTAGAGGCTGCTGTTGCTGCAAAGGGCACTTTGGGGCTTTTGCTGCATGCAGCAGCAGCAACTTGGGGCTTTTCCTGCATGCAGCAGCAGCAGCAAGTTTGGGACTTTTCTTGCATGCAGCAGCAGCAACTTGGGGCTTTTCCTGCATGCAGCAGCAGCAGCAAGTTTGGGACTTTTCTTGCATGCAGCAGCAGCAACTTTGGGGCTTTTTCTGCATGCAGCAGCAGCAGCTTTGGGGCTTTCCCCGCATGCAGCAGCAGCAGCAACTTGGGGCTTTTCCTGCCTGCAGCAGCAGCAACTTTGGGGCTTTCCCTGCCTGCTGCAGCAGCAACTTTGGGGCTTTTCTTCTGGAAAAGGCTGGGGCCCCACAATGCATGCAAGGTCTGTGGGGCCCCCGGGGCCCCTTTGAGTTTTAGAAAAAGGGTATTTTTGGGTTTTTGCTTTTAAAACATTTCTTTTTAAATATCTTTTAAAGCATTTATTTATTTGTTGAAGGTTTAATTAATTCTGGCCAATTTATTCTTTTTTTATTTCTATTTTCGTCTTTTTCGACCGGAGTCTCGCGCATGCATTGCTGGGGTGGGGTGTACAGACAGCTGGCGCCTTCGCTTTTTTCTCCTTTTGCAAATTCTTTAAAATTCATTTCTTAAAAAGTTCTGAAGTCATTTCAGTTAAATTGTTTGCAAATTTAGTCAAATTAAATGTTTTGTTTCTTTTTTTTTCTTTTTATTTCTTTTTTCTTTTATTTTTTTACTAAGTTCTTTTCCGCTGGGCCAAATTCACTTGTGAAAAACTGCGAATAAACGAAAATTAAATGAACTAAATAAAATCTAAAATGTATTTATATAAAACAATTTAAATAGAATTCTTTTTTGTACTTATTTCTGCACTTGAGCTAAGAAGAAACGAAAGCTGTTTTGCTACTTCGGCGCTCAACTGCATGCAGGGTGTTGCATGCAGGCGGAGCACTTGCGAATTAAATCGGCGATAAGTAAACAAATTAAAATAATAAAATAAATAAATAAAAACAAACAAAATAAACAAAAATAAACGAAAATAAATTTATCAAGAATTCGCATTTATGAACAAAACCCCGAAATGCCGCGCCCGCGGAACGGCCCGCAGCCCCAGCTGTACATACACCCCAAACCCCACAAACCCCTTCAGCTGTACATACACCCCAAACCCCACAAACCCCTTCACCTGTCCATACACCCGAAACCCCCAAACTCGTAAAGAGCCTCCAAAGCAAAAAGACTCATTTCATCTTTCGAAGGCGCCGACGGCAGCGGGCCCCACACCTGCGCAGCCACCCACGTTTGCCACGTGTAGCTAGCTAGCTAGCTGGCTAGCTCGCTAGCTAGCTGGCTGGCTAGCTAGCTAGCTGGCTGGCTAGCTAGCTTGTCTAGCTTCTCAGCTAGCCAGCTAGCTAGCTAGCTGTCTGGCTAGCCAGCTAGCTAGCTTGACTAGATTTTGGCTTGCCAGCTAGCTATCTAGCTAGCTAGCTAGCTAGCTAGCCAGCTAGCCAGCCACATAGTTAGTTGGAGGCGTGGAGCCCGCCGCTCTGAGCAGCTAACTAGCTAGCTAGCTAGCTGAGGACATGCCAAACTGGGCAGCTAGCTAGCTGGGCACCTAGCTAGCTGTCTAGCTAGCTAGATTGCCGTCTAGCTAGCTAGGTTGCCAGCTAGTGCGACAGCTGACTAGCTACTTTGTGCCAGCTCGGCTGCCAGCGAGATAGTTGGCTAGATTGCTCCCTGGCTAGCTAGCTAGCTAGCTAGCTAGCTAGCTAGCTAGCTAGGCTTCTAGCTAGTCAGCGAGCTAGCCAGCTAGCTAGCTAGTTGGTTAGCTAGCTAGTTAGTTACTTAGCCTGCTAGGTAGCTAGCTAGCTAGCTAGCTAGCTAGCTAACCCTAACTGGCTAACTAGCTAGCCACTAGCTAGCTAGCTACCTAGTGGCTAGCCAGCTAGCTAGCTAGCTAGTGGACTGACCTCAATTGCTTTTGCCATGATTTTTTCGTCCGGGCAAATGGCCTGTCTTTCCAAGTCCGCCATGCGCGCTCGAATGTCTCTCCACTCCAGCAGCCGCTCCTGCAGCAGCAGCAGCAGCAGCAGCAGCAGCAGCAGCAGCAGCAGCAGCAGCAGCGGCAGCAGCAGCAGCAGCAGCAGCAGGGCAGCAGAAGCAGTAGCTCAATGGCTTCGGAGCAGCAAGGAAGCCAAAGAAAGCTTTCGAAAGGAATGGGGAGTCAACCGCTGCTCAGCAGCGGCTGGCGTTGAGGGTTTAGGGTTTAGGGTTTAGGGTTTAGGGTTTAGGGTTTAGGGTTTTGGTTACCACAACGTGAAAGAGAGCTCCGGAAAAAGGAATATTATTATCTTTTAAAATCTTTTTTGCTTCAGCAGCAGGTCTGTACTTGGGGTGTCTGTACACCGCAAGGCAAGCCCTTTGGGATTCGGCAAACACTTCAGAGAGAAGAGCCACTCCGCCCTGAACAACACAATTAGGGTTTAGGGTTTAGGGTTTAGGGTTTAGGGTTGGAGGGCTTGAGCATCTGATAAAATGGCTGAAGGCCGTAGTAGCCACTGTTTAGAGTTTAGGGTTTAGGGTCTGCAAATTGGGGTTTAAAGCTTGGGACACAGGGTCTAGAATTGGGGTTTAGGGTTTAGGGTTTAGGGTTTAGGGTTTAGGGTTTAGGGTTTAGGGTTTAGAGGCGGACGCGCTTAGGAGTGCAGCCGTTGGGGTTTTTTGCTCTCTCGACAGAACATGGCTCTTCCCTGAGGCCGCACAAAAAAGACATGAACTCTAAGGTTTAGCGTTTAGGGTTTAGGGTTTAGGGTTTAGGGTTTAGGGTTTAGGGTGAGTTTGCTGGATCCATTTGTTATCTTTTTCCGGAATTTTTTGCATGCCAGTTTAGGCTTTTTAGGGGTTTTTCTTTTGTCTCCTTTTATCTCTTTTTGTCTTTTTGGTCTTTTATTTCTTTTTATTTTAATTTAATTGCATTTAATTTAATTTTAGGGTTTAGGGTTTAGGGTTTAGGGTTTATTTTGTTTTTATTTTCCCACTTGCTGTTCGAAGCCACCAGTCTGTTGTACAGACACCGCGCAACAAAAGGCAAAAATTTCGTCTCTTCGAATACTTTGGTCAAAAAGTCTGCGCTGAAGGGTCTGCAGTCACAAACCCTAAACCCTAAACCCTAAACCCTAAACCCTAAACCCTAAACCCTAGATGCTTTGGGGCCTTCGAGCTCGGCCTTGGCAGCCTGCTGCCTTCCGCAGAAGGGCCTTTATCCAGAAACGCTCTCCGCAGTGCGCTGCGCCCAAACCCTAAACCCTAAACCGTAAACCCTAAACCCTAAACCCTAAACCCTAAACCCTACCTCTGCACGAACTGGTCCTCAGTGGTTTCGGGGATTTGCTTCCCCAAGTACTTCAACACCAAAGAAGAGGGAGAAGCAGCAGCAGCAGAAAAAACATTTTCAGCGAGAGCCACGTCGAAGCAGTTCACCACGTAAACACTAAAGTCCCGCTGAAACGCAAACCCTAAACCCTAAACCCTAAACCCTAAACCCTAAACCCTAAACCCTAGCCGGCATCGGGAGTCCTGCGTCTGCAGGCGCGCGCGACTCCCACCCCGCTGACCCAGCGGCGCATCTCCCCGTCTTTCCCAAACCCTAAACCCTAAACCCTAAACCCCAAACCCCAAACCCCAAACCCCAAACCCCAAACCCCAAACCCCAGACCCCAAAC